CATGTTAAAGGGTCAAACACAAACTGAAAAGCAAAACATTTGCATTTCTATATAGCTAAAAATTAAATATCAACTTAGAAAAAATTCTGATGGCAACAGATTGACAACTGTTCATGCAGACTTTCATGAAATATTTTGATCAATAAAAAAATTTTTGAAAAGTAATAGTATTCATAAAATTTGTGTTTGCTTTTTGAAACAGAGAAATACACAAATTTTTAATAGCTAGTTATAGTAGAACACTTAATCCCAATTCTGACTTTAGTTCTATGAAAATTACCAATAAAACTCTTCACGTTTATGAACTGGATTTTCTTTAAGCTTTCTACATTCACAAAAATTTATCTTCTTTAAATAACACATTGAATACCATGCGCCTTCAAGTGGTTTGCCAACATGATTTTTTTATTATTCGATGTATACTATGCTGAAATATTATTTACAGAAGATAAGGCGAGTTACTTAATTGTGTTTAAAGCATTTTTCCTGGTGGGGGGTCACCGCTCACACCCCAAGGGGCTGCAGACCATTTTTGCAATCTATTCCTCTTCAAAACATTATACAGTCAAAAGTCGTTAATCCAGACTCGTCGGGACTTCGGCGATTCTGGATTATCGATCATCAGTTTAAATCTGGTAAGATGGTATGCAGAAATTATAAAATTAAAAATATGAAACCGTAATTTATGAAATAAAGAACAATTATGATCTAAAGGGTATCAAAATTTACAAAAAAAAAAAAAAAAAAAAAGCTTAATATTTATTTGTTTACTTTATTAAACATTTCTTTCAATGTAAGTTGTTTAAGTTGCTTCATTTTATGTGATAATACTTTCTCTTTAATTCTATAAACAGACATAATTTCTTCTTCAGTTACAAAGTTCCGCTGTTCAAGTCCTATAATTGCTGTGCCGAGAATACCGACTAATTTGTCAATCGAAGTTTTTTCGTTTTCAATAACCTCTGTGTCACTTTCTTCACTATTGGAAGCGAATTATAATGATGAGGAATTTGATTTAAATCATATCAAAGACAGAGTACATCGAGATGAAATACTACATTTAGTAAGGAATTATAAGCCAAATAAAATAAAAACATGTGCCCTGAAGATAAGGATAGTGCTGACAGATCAACTTCCAATTCATTGCGTGCCACGGCATGCGTAAACGTATTATGCGCATGCGCACACGCATATTCACAGAAGTAAAAGTCTTATGCGCATGCGTCAACGCGATGTATGCACAAAAAATTTGCAGCTTTGAGGTCCGGATTATGGGTGTCCAAATTAACGACTTTTGACTGTAGTAACAATGGTTATTATTTAAAAATTTATCTGTATCGATATTTACTCTAATTAGATATTTTTACAGTTGGCTGCGTCGCTGGTCACCGGAGGCCCCCATAGCACTGTAGCCAAGTTAAATGCCAGCTACCGGTGACCCCACAGGCAGTCAACATGTTAACATTGATTCCTATCCACTTACTTTTCTAATACACCGACATGCTTTTGGAATTTTAATGTTTTATTGGTGTTTTCAACTAATGGTGATGTTTGTTTCTGATTTGCTCTGCCCATTTCTTTTGATATTGGTTGCATTCCTCCCATTTTTAACAAAAGTGTGTTTGCTCATGAAGAAGGACCTGAGTTTCATCGCCCTCAAAACTGATATTTAAAATCTATGCCAAACTAATGTTTCTTTTTTTTTAAACCTAATTTTATATTTTACATTGGCATATTTCTCTTCTAACTAGTAATTTTGTTGCAATTAGTCAAAATAAATTACTCATCTGAGGATTTATGAGATTTTAAAAATTTTAGATGCACTTAAGGATCTCTGATTTCATCAACTTTTGAATGAAAACACCTAAATTTTTCCTTGGTTTTTTCTTCTTCAGTATTAACTAATGGTAAAGCCCTAAAAAATAAAGGGTGTTAACACATTCTTGAAACAACTCCAGGGCTGTTTAATTAATGTTTATCCTTTCGCGGCTTGATGTGCCCGGTCTGGGCACATCTAAACATTTCCTTCTGTACGCACAGAAAAATTGAATGAAAAAGGATTTGAAAGTTACTATAGGTTACTCTGAACCTTATTTATTTATAGTAGATGGCAGCTCAACACAAATCAGTCCATATATTTTAGCCTTGTTTGGTTTTTTAAGACCCTCATTTTTTGAAGAAATCTTCCAGATTTTTTTTAAGGTATAAAACGAATTGTTTGAAAGGAAATTTCTACATTATTTTTTTGGCTGTATGCTAATGTCCTTATTCTATATTAGTTTTAAATTTTTACCATGAAATCTTGCCTAAAATCGAACGGCAAACCGAGGTGTTCCCAGAATAGGCTCACTGCGACTCTAGGTCACTGAGAGGCAGTTGTATCTTTGTTTCTCTGCAGCTCATCAGTCAGCTCATAAACATAGAAAGGTGGGTCCACATCTGTGTTTCATTTCCTGTTTTTTTTTTCTTTCTTCTCTCCCCTTTTTTGGGGGGGAGGGGAGGTTAGGTTATCAACTATGAAATTGTTAGGGTGATTTTCTAAAGGTCAGGGATAATTTTATCAGTTAGCTGTTTGGTTTCTCACTAGAGCAGTTCTCTTTTTCTCTTTCACTTTGGTTCAAAGAAGTTTTCTTAGCACTACGTTTAATAGTTTTGAGTTGTAGACATTTATATTTTTATTTTATAGGTTATAATTTCAAATTGTAGATATAATATTAGTTTTTTTTTTTTTTAATTTTTAATTATTTTCCAAACGGATCTGAGAGGGCCGACCATTTCTAAAACACTGAAATTGCTTTCAGATAGTGAATGTGATACAGATCCCAGCATATGTGCAAAACATGCAATATTGGGTTGTGCTTTTTCAAAGGTGGTGTCACTTTCTTCGAAAAGTAACACAATGAAAAAAATAGACTTAAGTGTAAATATAAAATGTAAATAATGCAAATATCATATAACCCAAGTTACTTTTTTTTCCATTCAAAAGCATGTAATCATCATATAACCAAAAATGAGCTTTTTAGGGGGGGTGTAGAGTAGCAGATCTCCCCGTGGCACTCCTTGGCTAATGCTAAATCTGCTATGGTATTCAGAATCTCTTACTCTTTTATGCACTTCCCAACAATGCTCGTTTCAGCACTCTTCAAAGCTCTATTCAATCAATGTGCCCGTTTCGGGCACGACCATAGAATTAAAATGATAAGTGCTATCTTTACAAAATTTACTTGTGTTTACAAAATTTACTTGTAGGCCTAATTAAACTGTCTACTTTTTCTTTTATCGAAATTCCAACTTTAGAAGGTAGCGTGCCAGAAAGGGTTAAAATGTAAAGTGTATTTTAAAAATATGATAGCCTTTTTTCCGGACTATATATCTTTATCATAATTTCCACGATAGAAGAACTTTTCATAACATAACCAGGGGTACTGATTTCCATTCCCTTTCCACTACTTTCCACAGTCTATCAGTTGTGGTAGGTTTGTGCTTAGAAAGAGCTTTAACAGACCAAAGGTGCAAGTCCATACTGAAATGTCAGGGGTTTTGTAGGAATACATTGAAAATGTATATATGCAATACCTGTAGTGGTTTTCATTTTTTTTTTTTTTTTTTTTTTTTCAATTGTTGCATTGCCTTGATGAGATTTCACTCTTTGAAAGTCATTGGAATACAGAAAAGGAATTTTTTCTGTAAATATTAGACATAAAATTTTTAAAAACTAATTAGTACACTGAGCTGATTTTTAGCATTTTTTCCCCACACTTCTTATTTTTAATTTCCCATAGTAAAAAAATCCTGTGACAATCATAAACCCTTACTAACACATTCTTTGCACTGATGAAACCATGTATGTACAGTGCCATCCTCCCCTGTTTTGATTTAATTTTTTTTTTTTTTTTTTTTTTTTTTTGTTGCAGTCATTTAGGTAAGCCCATGCTTAGTTGTGGATCACAGTGCATTTCCATTTATTTCCTGATAAGTTTTCTACAAATTATTCTGCACTGAGCCACATGCCTTGGCAAAAGCTGGTGAAAATTATGATTTTTTAGCTTTTTTATGTTTTAAATCTTGTTTTATTATTTTATTTATTGTGGCTAGTAATGTATTTAAAGACTTTGTAATTGATTTCTGCGGATTTTCTCTTGTTACCAATGATTTAACCTTAGAAACATTAGAAAGAATTTCTTTTTCAGGTATTCATTTGGAGTCTTCTTTCCATGTAGAAGTAATCACAGACTATTTTTCCTTTTCTGATTATTAATACTGCTTATTTTGCACCAGTAATTTTGATGCATTTCAAAATGCTTTCAAATTACGGAATCAGAATATTTCTCTTTGGAAAATGCAAAAACATATCCTTCAATCCACAGCTCGTTTATATGTGTCATTTTGAAAGAATAAATTTAAAAGTAGAAGACAATATTTCTCATTTCAAATAATAAGCTTTGCCAGAAATTTTTATTCCAAAAAATTTGCTTTCTTTTAATTCTTTATCAAAACCATTCTAAAAATGTGTAAACACCCTCTGTATAAGTCAACATTAAACAATGGATAAGTTAGTCTCTACCAGAGGTCATAACATATGTTATTAAAAACATGTTTTACTAATTAGAGTAACAATGTAAATGTTTTTTTTAATTTTATAAGTCAGATGCAAATTATATTAAATAAGTACATACATTATTCAAATTAAATCAATTATATATGTATGTTCTTTTTAATTCATTGAATTTAGACTAACTAAATGTCAAGTGACTACACAAAAAGTTAGAATTTGTAATTTTTACAAAATTTATTTTTAAAATTTAGAAATGTCAATGAATATTTGCATCATTTAAAACATTTTTGTAGCTGAAAGTATATGACTGTGACTAACAATTGCAAAAATAAAAGCTGCACCATAATTTTTACAGGCGTTTTAAATTAAAATATTTTTACCTATTAACTTCTCACATAACATTTTCAATTTTTCAATACAAAATCTTAAATCTTTTCAAAGTTACCTTAGACATGAAAAGAGAAACCATTGACATCTTTGGAGGAACAAACTGCTCTCGATAAGTGGGTTTATCTTCTTTCATTGCAGGTCGAGTAGTCTGAGTAGGCAGCTGCCCCAGTAGTCTCATGTGAAACTTAATTCTTTGACGGGAAAGTGAGTCTAGCAAACCAGAACTTGTCTCAGAAGAAGTTTCTCCTATAATACAAACAATTAATACATTACACACTTCTTTAGAATATTTTTAGCATCTTATATTATCCATAATTTGTTTTTAGTTTGGGAATATACAAGAGGTGATAAAGTTTCTATCCAAGGAACGTATACAATAAACAAGTTCACTCTGTTTTAAAAAATTAAGTTTTAAAAAATTAAATTAGCAGTTAATGATACCATTCTGATAGAAGTCTGTTACATAAAAAGGCAATATCACAGTCCAGATAGAACCACCATAACTTTTTTTTTTTTTTAATTTTTTTTTTAAGCTAATCAAATAACCAAAGATTGAAATAACAGGCAAGGGACCTCTTGTCCAATGGCTTCCATTTTCTACTTCACAACATTTACAATATGAGCAGTGGGGAACTAAGGCTAAAGTGGGCCCTAGGCAACACTGTAATTCCGGGCCTATTTTCCAGTCTTGACACAAACTTTGCATTTGCTAGTTTGGTTTTAAAGCATATGGTATGTAGTTCTATTTAATTATCGGATTCCAAGAAAAAAAAAGGGAAAAAAATAATATACATGTACAAAAATTAAATAAACATCGTTTATTAAAACAAACAAACATAAACATAATTTATTAAAACAAACAATAATACTTAAATATACCCAGATTGGTTAGTTATATTGCCTTTTTTCTAACTTTTAATTCTGCAAACTCATCATAATTAATAGAGTTATTACAATTAGTTTGTCATATTTAATAGAGTTATTTAATAACTCTTTTTCTATATAAAGTAATGATAAACTATTTAACTTTTGTTGGCCTGATGTGGATCTTAAAAAAAAATTTATACTGGCCATTACTGATCTTTCACCACTTCCATTGCTTATTGGAAGTGTTAAATAAATTCTCAGAATTATGTTTAAATTAGGGAATGTTGCAATAATATTATTTTCCTGAATAAATGACCATGTGGATACAGTTGAAATAATATTTCCTTTAATTATAAAAGTCTTAAATTGTAATACTTCATTTTTCAGTTCTGCTAGGTTTAAATCTTGTTCATAACATTTTAATTCCTTTATTGAAGAGTCACTAACATCACTATCATGAAAAATTGTTTTGAGTTTTTTGTTAATAGTTTTATATCCCTCAGATCTTTTTTTAATGTTGCTAATTAAAGAATCACATAAAAAAAAAAAAAACGTATTTGACGGCAAATAAGATGCACTTTTTTTCCTAAATTTGGTCGCAAAAAAGTGACTTGTGTCTTATACGTGAAGGACACAGGTTAATTAATACTGAATGCTATTTTTAGCCCGGATAAAGGTCTAGACACACATAACTTTTTCTACATCTGCCATAATTATTTTGCACATGCACGAACTATCTGTCGCCAAAAAGCGCCAAAGCTCGAAGCTGATGTCGAAGTTCGAACAGGTTCGACGGTCACATTACATCTATGGAGCCTTTCCTTCTTTACATAGACTTTCTTTGACTCAGCGGACACACGTGTAGGTATCGGTGCTACTCTGTATAAACGTGTCGGTATTAGTTCTTAAAAGTATTTGTTTAAAAAAAAATACCCTGGAAAATATGACTACAGGAAACAAGAGATTAAGCTGTACAGTTCAGTATAAACTAGGAGTGTTAAACTACGCCAAAATGCATGGAAACAGAGCAGCAGCAAGGCATTTCGGTCCACCACCTATCGAAAAAATGATACGTACTTGGCGACTGCAGGAAGATCAACTGAAGACTGCTAAAAAACAAAAACATAATCTTCGATGCCCAGCTCCATCTTGGCCTGAACTTGAAAATGTCGTAAAAATGTGGGTGATAGATAAGAGGAAATCTGGGATAAGTGTTTCAACTAAAATGATAATCAATGAGGCCAAAGGATTTGCAGAAAAACATGGGAATCAGAACTTTTCAGGGTCTGAGAGCTGGTGCTACAGGTTCATGAAAAGGCAATGCTTATGAATGCACACAAAAACAACTATTGCACAGAAAATGCCAGCAGATTATGAAGAAAAAATACTAGCATTTCATAGGTTTGTTATAAATGCACACAAGAAAACTTCTTTTGAGCTCGGTCAAATAGGAAATATGGATGAAAGAGAAAGAAGCCACATTTTAAGTTATTGTGTTATCGTGCTGTTCAGGGTTGCCACGCTACCTGGAAAACCAGGAGAACCGGGAAAAGTCAGGGAATTCGAAAATTGACCAAAATATTCAGGGAAAAGTCAGGGAATTTAAGTATTTTTGTCAAAATCTGGAAAAGTCAGGGAAGTTCATACAACGATCCCGCCAAAAAAAGCGATTTTTGCGCCGACGTCGGAAGTGATAACTTTTTTGGCGAATTATGTATCACGTGAATGTCATTCGGGTAGCTGGCATAGCTCCAATTTGATTGTCTGTTAGAAAGGCAAAGCAACTTTCCCGCAACTTTTGGTTTCCAGTATTTTCGAGAATCGCATGTGCAGTGCATGAACTAAAGAAAGTACCTGTTCTTGTATAAAACAAAATGGGTTTAATCCTAGTATACGGTACCATGGAGGTTAGAATCAAAGAATATGTATTGTAAAGAAGGAAAACCTCTCTGCAACAGACGAGGCTCCGTTCCATCATAGAGGGAACAGCTGTGCATGTCTGATATATCTGTTGCCAAAGCTCGAAACCGGTGTCGAAGTTCGAAGGTCACGTTATCAAGAGTTCATAAAATGAATATCGTTTAAAATTTCTTTAACGACTTGCGCTAAAAAGACGTGCCACGCACGTCGAGATGCTTTTGTCTCAAACCGTGAGCGATGTGAACACCACGTAGATAAGCATTTATCGCAAAAATGAAAATAACGTGGTGCACACGTCGCCTAACAACGAGATTGTTTATTTCTCGAGTTACAGCTCTGGATTGCACTCGCAGATGCGGAGTGGCGTAAATGAGACACTTTACCGCTTGTTATATTGTAGCGCACGGCACCGCAACCGTGAAGTTTAGTCTTAGCGCAAGTGGTTAAACTCTAAAGGAAAAGAAAATATTTTTTGGCGCAAGTAAATTAATTCATGGATTAGTTATTTTCAGGGGAAAAAAAAAACTACGAAAATCCGTTTTTAAAATTATTGCGTGGATTTTTGTCAATAATTTTAAAAATGGATTTTCATAGTTTTCATTTTGTCAAAGAGCGTTTCTTCTTAACACGTGTTTCTCAATTTCCTGTACACATCGCGGAGAGGGAAATTCTGGCCGCCAGGTTCCGTCGCCAAATCCCTTGGCAAATTTTTCCTCCGCATTCTAACGGCGTAATAGCATTTTTACTTGTATGGAACTTTTCTTCTTTACATAGACGTTCTTTGGTTAGAATAATAATGAGATTTGGCGATATCATGATGCGCAGTAAACGGGTCATTTTGGTCTTGGCGACAATTTTCAAAATCGTGCCGAAGCCTTACCGTATACTAGAATTTTATCGCAAAATCTTTTTAAACCTTTTTTTTTTTTTTTTTTTTTCTTTTTAATAAATACCTTGCCATTTTGCAGTAAAATAAAAAAAAATAGTAATCAGTCATCTAGGCTAGCCATGTAATATAACTATATTCGCTAAAATATCGTTGATTATTCTAATTCAATTTTTAAGTAATTATTTTTATGTTATTCATATAATTTAATGTTGCTTCTTCCCTCTAAATTTATTTATTATTAGTAAATAATATTTCCAAATTTCAGGAAATTTTCTCTGGCATAATCCAGAAATTAATTATAGCAGTATGATGACATACCATCGCGAAATTTAATGCACATATTTTTTCCTTATGTATGCTGCGAAATAAATATAAAATACCTCAATTTATTAAAATAGATTTCTTTCTTCCGTTTAGCTGCAGAATGTCTGCAAAAAAAAAAAAAAAAAAAAAAAAAAAAAAGGCCTTATTTTGTTCCAGATTGGGAAGATTCTAATCTCAATCTTCAGTGGAGAAAACAACAACTATTATAATTATATTTGAGTTTTCAAGTGTTAAGGTGCCTTTTAAAGACATACCTCACGCAAATTAAATTTACCTAAAATCTAACCTAACTATTTAGCATTGCGTTGTGATTTATAAGGACCGGATTAGCCTCGTGTTGAACTGGTGATGATCATGAGTAATAATTAAATAAAACATACATTTGTTATCCAATGTATATATCTTAAATTTTATTAAGTGGAAAACTAAACAAAATTATCAAACAAAGTATACCAAGAATAATTAAGAATAAATGTCCTCTGGGATTTATTGAATAATTAAGTGAATTTGCTACACAGTACAAGTAATACCATAATTAATTTACCTCTTAGCACAGCCAACGTACATTACGCGGATAGACTGGAATTTTCTTGAAACACACCTGGAAAACCTGGAAAAGTCAGGGAATTTCATTCTCCTGTTTGAGTGGCAACCCTGGCTGTTGCGCAGACTATTGAAACTTTTTTTCCTTGTGTGTGGCCTTCTAAATAAGGGTGCGTCTTATATGCCGTCAAATACGGTATTAACTTTAAAATGTTCTTTGCCACTGAATCTTATTTCATGTTCTGGAATTTCATCATGAAATAGTTTTTGTATTTTTTGCCATTTTTTATCATTAGTATATGCAATATCTTTAACTTTTTTGCTTCTTTTCTAAATTGTCAAAATCATCTCTAACAGTTTGTATGAAATCTATCAATGAATCGTATATTAAAACTGCTGTATTTAGAGATTCGTCTTTTTGTTGAAGAGTCTTGTTTGAAGCATCTATTCTCTCTAAAATCTTTTCCCATATAGTAAGTAACAGTACATACTCAAATGTATCAAGTTTTTTATGTAAATCAACAGCTTTGGACCTTGTTACTGGTTTTTCATCTTTGTTTGAGGAAAAATGACGTAAACAACGTTTAATTTCTTCATTATTTTTCCTTTAAAGATTTCACAGCATCGGAACGAGCAGACCACCTGGTGTCACAAAAAGGTTTAATACTCAAGTGTTTGCTCTTACAAAATTTTTGTAATGCAT